TTTGTTGAATAGGATCATGTGTAGTTGCTGATGTGCACTGGATAGCAGCCAACCAGGGATGGGGAACTGCAAACAAGGTCTTTCTTGTGAGGTTCCCAGAGCCTTAGAGTATTACACCTGGCAGAGGAGTAAAAGCTGAGCGTGCTTAGGCCTGCAGCACAGTGAAAGCTCTTATAATACTCTACTCTGAAAACATCACTCTAAAAAGGAATGTTGTCTTGATATAGACAATCTTCAAAGGCAACCTTATTGTGTTGGAGTTCTTTTTCTCTAGGTTTTCTCTTAGTATATACTGACGATATAAAATAATGGGTTTTATTATGACATTTTCCTACATGTGAATGAGGAATTTGTTCCTTTCCATTCCCATATTACTCTTTCTTGTCCGATTCTCCTTTCTGCTGAAAACTCGTCTATCTTCTACTTTACTGGCTTTTTAAAAATCATTATTGATCATCCAAAAATTTAAATTAGAGTAAGCAAGTGGGTGAGAGTTTATTTACAGGAGTATGGGTGGTTTGGGTAGCAATTCCACTGGAAAAAAAATGTTTCTTCCCTCCCCAGTGTCCATCACTCACGTAGAAATGCTGAGGAAGGGATGGGCCCTCCTTACCCCACGTGTCTTTGTAGCACTTCATTGTGTCCAATATCTCATTGTTTTGATGTATGAACAGATTCTTACCAGAGTTCTGGATTTCAACTGGAGAGCCTCCAATTTCCTTTGCCTCCACAAGAGTACTGGTTCCTCAGGCATGTGCTGCCACATCCTGCTCACACTTATCTTTTTAAGTAATCCTGGGGATTATGTAGAAGACACTGTCATCTTGATGTCCCTGTGGATGAGGCAGCTCTGGGTGCCAGAGAGGTGAATGTGCTACAACTCTGTGCCTTCTTATAAAGTTGTCTGAGGTTCCAAATCCAGGTACCCGAAGCATGTTCAGAAGAACAGTCACGTATAAGCAGGTGAGACCTTCTTGCCTATAATGCGCAGTGCACATTAACTAGAACCCAGGAAACTGCAGACAAGGGTCTCAGGCTGAGAGAAGTATAGCATCCTTAGAGTGGCTGTGACTCGGGGAGTGGCACGATTGTCTCAGAGTTCACAGGAGACTGTCTGGAGATAAGAGGCATCAAGGTTTGCACACTCCCCCTGCCCCAGTACTCTCTTGGCTCAGCTTCTGTGAGGACCTGAAGACCATGTGGCAGGCCTAGACCACATACTCCTTGCCCTAGAATCCACCTTGTACCTTTGCCCAAGGTCAGACACGTTGATGGATCCTGTCCTCTCATTTCAGCAGGGTGGTGTGAGGCTGGAGGGTTCTAGTTCTGTTTTGGTCCAGCATACTCTCCATAATCTTTCTGGGGCACCTGGGTAATTCTCTGACCTAAGTGGTGAGTCATATGATCCCAATAACACCATGACAGTGTTAATAGTTTCATTGCTACCCTAGGGTCCTCAGCAGCCAGAGTCTAGACACAGACACACACAGAGAAGGGAAATGTCCCATCTGTCCCTCTGCTCCTGACCGTCTGCCTGGTCCTCTGAACTCCAGGCCCAGCCCTCATCAGAGCTCCTCACACTGTTGTTCCTCGGTGCTGAGTGTCCTCGGGTGTCATTGACCCCGTGTGTGCTATAGGGCTACTGTGTTTGCTTTAGCGGAGGCATTGTCCCTCACTGCTGTCTGTCATTCTCCATAAGCTCCTCCCTCCCTAATCCCTTGCCTCCTCCTGCCTCTCAGTCTCTGACTCTGCGAAGGTTGGCAGTTCTGACCCTGTTTCCATCTTCCTCTTTCAGAGTCTTACCCTGAACACACGGGGGGAGAAGCAGAAACCCACAGGCTGTGGTCTTCAGGAAGCCAGGAAGTTTATCCAGCAGCATGGTCAGGTTTGTCAGTGGTTCTCACTCTCCCTAATGCTGTGATCTCTTAAGACCGTTCCTTATGTTGTGGTGATCCCCAACCATAAAAATTTTGTGTTGCTACAAATTACAATTACAAATTACAATAATTACAATAATGTAAGTATCTGATACATGGATTATGGGATATGTGACCCGTCAGAAAGGGTCATTTGACCCCACACACAAAGTGGTCTCTACTGACAAGTTGAGGACCACTCAGCTAGGTCCTGGGCCTGGGTTTGTGCTGCAATGGATGCACTGTGTTTCCCAACAGGAAGCAGTTGTGGGCCTCACCCAGGTAGGAATTTGAACTCAAGAAGGTATAGGTGAGAACTCTTTGGGGCAGTGCAAGGCAATGTCCCAGGAGACTGGCACTGACCCACAGAGGTGAAGAGAGTCTGTGCTTATCAGTCTATCAGGCCGGCAAGACACCTATCTGTTTTGTCTTTTTATTGCACCCCCTTCAGTAAGCACAGCATGGACTCTGAAGTCATTCTGAGTATCAGTAACCCTTATCCCTAACCCCACCCCAAATCAGGGTGACTTCCTTGTCACAGACCCAGCCTGGGGCAAGGATAAGAAGCAGGAAGCAGGGGGCTGGAGGGATGGCTCAATGGTTAAGAGCATTGCCTGCTCTACCAGAGGTCCTGAGTTCAATTCCCAGCAACCACATGATGGCTCACAACCATCTGTAATGAGATCTGGTGCCCTCTTCTGGCATGCGGGCACACATGGAGGCAGAATGTTGTATACATAATAAATAAATAAATAAAATTTTTAAAAAATTCTTTAAAAAAAAAAAGCAGGAAGCAGAAGGCTGCACTGGAGAGTCCTGATCTCTTAAGCCGGTGTGTGCAGGGTCCCACAGATGGGGAAACCACAGAGGGAGAAGGGCTGGTTTTAACTTGTGATTCCTGTCCTCAGACCTCTGAATAGAAAGGATTGTAAGCCTATGTAATATGATCTGCATTTATTTAATTTTCTAGGTTGCCTGGCATCACACCCAGGACCCTCTACATTCAGGGCAAGCTCTCTACCACTGAGCTACATCCCTAACCTTACAACTTCTATAAATGTTTAACACATGTGTGTCATGACCAGTCAGCAAGACATGATGTCAATACAGTGTTTCCATTCAACTTGTCTGTGCTCCCAGCCCTGCCCCGGAAAGGTGTTCTCTCTTCCCTCATGACTGAAGAAACAGCTGGCCTATGGCAGATGGACTGTCCCAGCTCTTCTAAGATCAAAGACGTGCACTAGATTCTTTGTGTTACCTGAATAGCCTGATGTCTTAATTTTTGGCAGCAGGAATTAAGTAATGAACTCAGACCCCAGTGGAAGAAACTGGCACCAGCCCTCCGGGAGGGTATCCTTCTCTGCTCATGGTGTCCAGAATGGATAATCAATAATCTTCACTGTGACCCCAGAGGTCATGCTATCCTGGAGTTGGCTTTCCTTGCACTGGATTTTTAAAGGGGGAGTTTGCCAAGCGGGAAGTTTGGCTTGTAGGGAGAGCTGAGCAGAGTTGTAATATGACATGTCAGGATCTCTAACACAAAGGATCTGGCCTCTTAGTAAAAAGCAAAAAATATTTTTTGTTTTTGTTTTTATTTTTGTTTGTTTGTTTGGTTGGTTGGTTGATTTTGGTTTTTCGAGACAGAGTTTCTTCATAGCTTTGGAGCCTGTCCTGGAACTCACTCTCGTAGACCAGGCTGGTCTTGAACTCACAAAGTTCCTCCAGCCTCTGCATTCCTAGTGCTGGGATTAAAGGCATGAGCCACCACTGCCCAGTGAAAAAATGTTTTGAGAAAATTTAGCACCTTGAGAACAGTTTGACCCCTTTGTAGACTGACATAAAGTAAAAGAATTATTTTATTTTTATTATTAACTTTTATTAGAATAGCCAAAAATATTTAGTAACAGGAAAGAAGTGAGAAAGAGAATCATGGATTATGGATAATCAAGAACAAATGTTTATCAAAATGACTAGGAGGATGCAGGGGAACTGTGGAGGTCCAGAGGACACCCCAAAACATATGCTCAGTGAGACAGGGGACAGCAATCTCTTTCATTCATGTATGGACTTTCTGATCCCTCTACCCAGCTGCACCCCAGCGTCAAACATCTTCACAGACAGGTTTGATGATGTGAATGTTGGCATTACCATGGCTACAGACCCCTTGGGTATCAAGACAAACCTCAGCAGACACAAAATAACAAATCTGCTTTTCTAGAAACACACACACATGCACACAAACAAACAACCCACAAATATACATATACAGACACATACATGCTTATAATTACATGCATGCTCACATACACGCATATGTACACAAAATACTACACACAAATGCACAAATACATATGCATTCATACAAGCACAGAATAGACGAATGAGGTTGGATATTAAGAAAAAACAAATCAATACGGATCAATGTACAGATTACATTAAAAGAGACTGTAGGTGACATTTAATCTACAAACACCATGGGATGCTTTCAAATCTGGTCACTGACTTGGGAACCTCTATGTGACGCGTTTTGAAAGTATCTATGATTCATATTTCTATATTGAAACTTAGGCTCCAAGGAAATGTTATGAAAAGTGGAGCCTAGTGGAGGTCTGGGACATGAGAAACATTAAATATCCCAATACTCAGTGAAAAAACAAGGTTTTATCTTTGGATGAGAGAGCTAGTCATCATGATACAGCAAACAGCTTCGTATCTTAAACTTTGACTTCATGGTCTCCAAAAGCACAAACCTAATAATATAGAGCTCGTGATTTTATCACCTCACTCATATGATACGGGGTTTTTTGAAGAACCCATATCAATATTTTTTAAACTTCTGCTCTATTTTAAAGAGATGTTTTTGTCTTAGAGAAAAAGACAGTGAAAATGAGAAATGAAGGGAGGAAGGATGGAAGGACCTAGTACCAGTGGAGTCTGAAAGGAGCTGAGCCTGCCTTGGGAGGTTAACAATTCCTGTTGTTATGGAGCATTCATTGAGTGGGTCTAACAAAGATGACCCAGCAGGATAGAGTCACAGGCAGAGGATTCGTGATGAATGCAGAACAGACTAGTGCAGAGGTTATGTGAGTGTTAGGATCAACCCAGGTTAGTCAGTATATTTTGGGAACCTCAAGGTGACCCCATCGGCAGCCAGTGCTACACACCATTCCTCACACAGGACACTATAGCTCTTTGTGCATACTCTGAGATTTCCTTAGCTCCTGGATCTTCTGGGGCAGAGTCTGGGTCCAGAACTGCAGTCTTCTGGCCTTCAGGGCTCGGCCCACAGCAGGCTGAATGTCCAGCTGCAGGTACTGCTCATCATGGTCCATCATGGGCCAGTAGGGTAGACCCTCGCTGTTAGGGTTCCTGTGAAATGACAGAGAAGGGGGAAAGGTGAGGTCATTCTGATTCTAAGTCTGACCCCTGACTTGGGTCAAGGCAGTGGAACATTAGGCCAGTGGTTAATGGGGCTGATAGGACAGGTGTCCTGATAAAGGGACACAAGTGTCACCCACTAGTTTCTGTTCCCTGTGTGGGAATACTACTTGACATGTTTTATATCTACATCTAAGAGGCAAGATATAAAGAACAGTACCAGAGCACTATGGCTTAGGAACCAGATCACTATGAGATGACCAGTGGCTGATACCTACAGAGTATCTATATAAATGTGCTATCCAGGAGAGGACTCTATCATGTGATGGAAGAAAGGGGGAAAAAAAGCTAAGGAGACCATCACACAAAAGGGAGATCTATATAGGGACCCACATATTCCTATAACCCATATAGGGAAGGTTGAGAGAGAGGTGTGTTCTCACCCATGTCTTGCAAAGTTGGCCCAGTACTTCATCATCCTCCTGTTCAGTAGCTTCTCCTCCTCAGTGAGGTCAACTGGAATCATGAGAAAAATAAATCTTGGAGTCCATGACACCAAACACAACTACCAACTTATGCTTCCCACTCAGAATCCCAGCTGCTGTCAGACCCTAAACTATCAGCTTTATTACCTCCCTTCTTTACTATACAGTATTCAACACCCATGCAATCCTTTAAAGGAATTCCTGCCCCCAATGTGCTGTCAACTCCGTCACAGGCTAGACTGGCACGGGTTCAGATTCTAATCTTGGTATAATTTTTTTGTCTATGATATGGTACACATTTGAATTTATTCTCTCCCAGAATCTAATTTTTCTCTAATGGATTTAAAACTCAGGAGTCCCTGGGGTATCATCTGCAACCTCAGTCAGCTGAAGGAGAATAAGGAAGACTCACTTTTCATGCCGAAGATAAAGGACCCAAAGACAAAAGTAATCTCATCACAATGGTCAGCCTTCACATAGGGTGGCTTGAAACTCTTGAAGAAGGTGGGTTGATGTTGGAATTCATAGAAGAAGACAGGGCCATGGGAACCTGGAGGTAAGGACAAATAGTGACATAGTAGCCCATCAAATGGATTTTTGCTGATATGTTTGCTGACAAGATACCTTGATATAAAGTTACCTGGAATCATAAATGTTAAATGGGAGACAAAGTTCCAGGCTGGAGCACTAGCTATAGAAAAGCTCAGGGCAAAACAGTGCTCATGGCCTTCCCAGCTGGATGGTTATGTCAAGTCAATAGATATTCAGAAACTCATTTTTTCCCTCTGCATCTAGACGTCACTCTACTAAACTAGACATGAGGAGACCTGGATACCCACACTGCACCACAGTGCTCACCTATGGTCTACATCATTGAACAGCTCTCCTAAGACTTGTTACAGATGTACTCACGTTGAAAATGTGCTACTTGGAGTGCAGGGATCACAAACATGAAGTCTCCCATCATCTCCGTGTACTGTATTTGGAGGGTCTGTGGGTCCTCAGTGTCCCCCATGTACTCTTCCATTATCAGGTCGCCACACTCAGGAGGCAGCATCTACACCAAGAGATCAGGATGAATGAGGTTAGGCATGGTCTCGGTTAGTTGGGCAGCAGTCTTTGCTTTGGGGAGAATGGGACCTTGGCAGAGATAGAGTATAGGGGAAAAGGTTCATTCTCTGAGGTCACTCCACACAGAATCACACACATATGCTGACCTTCGTTAATAGGGATGCTATCTGAGAAGGGCTATTAGGGACGTCTCCATTTGGATAGGACCAGCAGTATCTCACCATTTGTGATGCTGTATTCTTCAAAACAGCCTGCAGGTTCTCCCTTGTTATTTCCTTTATTGTCTGAGCAGAGCCGAACATCTGGGTTGTAGAAAAACCTGTTAAGTGTGGGTTCTGATGGACTTTTTTTTTTCTTTTCTTTTTTCTTTTTTTGGATTTTCGGGACAGGATTTCTCTGTAGCTTTTGGTTCCTGTCCTGGAACTAGCTCTTGTAGACCAGGCTGGCCTCGAACTCACAAAGATCTGCCTGCCTCTGCCTCCCGAGTCCTGGGATTAAAGGCGTGCGCCACCACCACCAGGCTTTCTGATGGACTTCTTTAAAGATGCATTGTGTCCCCACTGTTTAGCATATGGCGCCACCACCACCAGGCTTTCTGATGGACTTCTTTAAAGATGCATTGTGTCCCCACTGTTTAGCATATGAATCACCAATCTCCCAAAGGATTAGAACTGAGACTCACCACGGGGATGACCCAACCATACTCATCATTGTTGACACCAATGATGCTGGGGACAGGACGAAAATCCACAGAAGCTAACAACTCTTGGGGATGCTTGGGTAGGAAAACCCCATCTACCACAGCAGGGATGATCTTGAAGACCTGAGGGGCATTAAAAGTCAATGCTGAAGGTCAATGAAATATGTATATTGATGCTCACTGAGTTACTTCCACCATTTTCATATTTCTTACCGGCCTCAGAGTTCTCAGCTCACTCTGGAAGAAAATCTACATTTAGATTAGCCTATCTTGGTGTTCATATTGTACACAGAACTAAAGAACACCAAGTCTGACAAGATATTCCAAGGCACACAATTCTACTTACCTTGTTAATGACCAGAATCTCTGCCTCACTCTTGCCTCTCAGACAGTGCACTAGGGTCTCTGAGTCCATGGTCTCACATCCAGACAGGCTGGCCACTGTCTGTGAAGGGGAACAAGTGGGGAGAAGAATATTTACAATTTCAATTCAATGCTATTGCCCTAGATACCATACTATAGTGTGTGTTGGGTGTGGATTGTTACAAATATAAATCATTCCCTTTGTCCTATTTTTCAAATTGACAGGCATCAAACAGTATCTTTTCTACCTCAGCATGTTTTGCTCTAGGGTAGTTTTGCTAACCCCAGCCGTTCTTCTGTATATCAGATGTGAGAAAAAGAGCAGGTCTGCCAGTGTTTATATGTGAGCATTAGAGAACCAGGTCTCCTTTCTTCACAGATGCCCCTTATTTGAGACAGGGTGTCCTCTTGTTTTCTGCTCCTAGTTTGAGCTACCCTCTGAACATCCAGGGAATCTCTTGTCTCTGTGTCCCCCACGTGAGCACAGGAACCTTGGAATTACAGACATCCTACTCTCTCCAGCCTTTTGAGGGTTCTGGTTGTTTGAAGTTAGGTCCTCAGGCTTGTACTCCAAACACTTAATAAAGCTACTGAGCTATCTTCCTGAGCATATGCATATTTATTTTTGTCGGTATTGGAAGCTACTTGGAGCAGTTTGCTGGTCAGATAACATGATCACCCAGTATGAAGTGGAGGCAAGTAGAAGCTAACCACTGAGTTTCTCAATAATTACTGGAAGAAATCTATTTTCCATAGCCATTATTTTCCCAATGAGACAGAAGACCAGAGTACCAGAATCTGAAGGCTGAGAAGGCAGACTCAGTCTATGATGGTTGAGAGCACTCACAGTGTAGACCCTCTCATGGGTGTCAGAGATAAGGTCAGAAAGGAGGGCCACTCCACTCTGCATGATGGCTCTGTGGAAGAGTCCTTTGGACATGGGGGACACAACAAGTGAAGACACACTTGCGCCACCTGCTGACTCGCCAAAAATGGTGACAAGGTCAGGGTTGCCTCCAAAGTGGGCGATGTTCTGCTGGACCCAGCGCAGGGCGGCCACTTGGTCCAGGTAGCCCCAGTTGCCTTTGGCATGCTGGTCTCCAGTGCTGAGAAGTGGAAGGACATGGATCATAGGCTTGTCTAGGTTCTTTCCAGCTGCCATTGTCCACCAAATCCTAGTCTTACCTGAAGAATCCTAGGACACCCAGGCGGTATTGGATAGTGACAACCACCACATCCTCAGTGGCTGCCAGCATGGATCCATCATTCATAGAAGCCATGCCTATAACCAGAGCACCACCATGGATCCACACCATCACCTGGAGAAGTCAAGAGAAATGCCATAAAGCCCATAACTATTCCAATTCTGCAAGACTGCTTATTAGAGCATCAACTGCTGGGCCTCTGTGCAGCTACACAAATACATGCAAATCCTCAGGACTTCAGGACCTTAGTCATAGGCAGGTCCTCTTGTAGCCCCATCAGTGTATTTCTAGTGCCCATCCCACCATGTGCCTCAGTTTGAACTAATGGGTCTTTGTGTAGAGCAATGTCGTCATTACTCAGACTCTGCATAGTGGAACAAAGAGGGGAGCCTCCACGGTTGTCTCTCCAGACTAAAAAAGGAAAAGATCAACTCTCACCAACACAACACATAATCCAAAAGTAGACATAGGTAAGCGCAATATTGAGGCTTGAGCACCTAAGTGGTTCTACAGAACTCAGGTTGTGGAATGAGTCCACTTTGATCAAAGAGCTGGAGCCTTTAGCCACTCAATGCTCCTGTTCTGTGTTCCATACCCAGGTTCAGCGGCTTAGTGTGGCTGAGAAGGCATCTTTGACCCAGTAGGTGGAGGCTTTTCAGCAGAGTCCCCACTACAGTGGAGCTCAGGATGCTTTTGTCCCTTCTAATCATCTTGAAAACCATGCCCTCCCCCAAGCTGACCATGTCCGGACACTCACAGGCAGGTTAGAGCCCTCATTGGCATGAGCTGGTGTGTAGATGTTGAGATACAGGCAGTCCTCAGACATAGAGAATGAGGGCAGGGGCAGGTTCATATCCTTAAGGCCCAGTGAATTCATCATTTCAAGGCTTTGCAGACAGCTGATGGAAACAGCAGAGAGATATCCCAAGAGACATATGGTGGTCAGAAGCATATGTGAGCCTGGATGTTTGTCCCCCACCTCCAGCTGCTGCTCTTTATGATGCCCTGATAACACATGTTCCCCCTCTGAGGTCCCTTCCACCAAGGTGATGGCCACATGCTCCAGGAAAGCTGGGGTGGGGTCCTCCAGTTTGGTTGGGTCTGTATGTTGTTTTATTTCTGAGTCTGGTATATAGAGACATCTCAGTGTCTGTATGGAAATGATTGACTGTGTGCAGTGACATTCACTGAAGTTATAAGAATAGAAAAGTGACCTAGACCTTAGCAATGCAAGGCATGCAAGCGTTTCCTCCTCTCTGTTCCTGGTTGTGGATGTGATGTGACCGGATCATGTAATTCAGTGTAACTTCCCCAATATGGTGGATTATACTGCAGAGCCTTTAATAGTAGCTTTCTCCCCTAAGTTGCTTTGTTGGCACTTTATTGCAGCAACAGAAAACAAACTAATATTGCAATACTGGAGTGTGGTACTCTACAGGTACTTGAGGAATCAATGGACAATACTGCCTAAAGGGCAGTAGAAGTCCTTCATCCCATGTTCAGACTCTCGGGGAACTTCTTTTTCCTATGCTGTCTTCAGAGCGAATTAGTTACATATAGTTCTTTGGTCAATGTTGCTTGGCTCTATAGGTTGTCACGGTGGCTCTAGGATTGGGTTAGCAAGTATCCATCATGCTGCACTTCTCAGGACCTGAAGTGTATTCTACTGGATTTGGGGTACTTTCTGCTTAATAGGTCACACAACTCATGCCTCAAGTTCCCTCCCATTGTGGCAGACAACACTGGGCTTTATTGAATCTGTGAACAATTTTATTTTAGTTCTTCTCTACAGTACCTGCATCTAACTCGTAGCTATATTCTGATGCAGGAACAGGTACAGTTGTTCTACTCAGCCTTAGCACATGTGTTAGTAAAATGCATGGCAGACTCCCCACAGTGAGAGAAAACTGCTGTGGACTGAGATGGAGGAAAGACTTCAGCATGGCTCAGGGCTCAGAGCAAATGTTCACCCCCGGGCCAGATGTCCTCTTGGTCCAGAACTTACATGGCTGGATAGGAGGTCCCATCTCTCACACCACTCCAAGGTTCAGGGGCTTCAGGAGGTGCAAAACGCAGCGGTCCTACAGGTGGCTTGGCAAAGGGGATTCTCAGGAATCTGTGGACACCAACTTTAGTGTCACTCACTCGGATGAGGCTGCCTCGGACCTGGCCTGTGTGTGTGCTTCTGATGGGGCTGGTCTCTGAGGAGTCCTGACCTGTGTGGAGAAATGCCATCTGGGTTAGTTGTGTGCAATCAGCTGCCAGCAGATTGTGGGAGTTCCCATCTCACTGTTACCAGGACACAAAAGAAAGGACCTCCTAGTTCAGCTGTGGGGTGTGAGTGTGGGAACTTCCCTATCCCTCAGAGCCAGGAACCTTTCCTATTGCCCTTTGCGCGGGGTCAGAGGATTTCTCTGGCCAAAGAGTTCACACACTCTGAGATATTTGGCCACATGAAATTATGATTATTGTCATTCTTATACAAAGGCCAGTTGTAGCTAAAGTAAGAGTCATACATTGAGGAGGGAAAATCCTTCATCTTGCTTTTCCTTGAACTGTCTATCATTCACCAGAGCTCCTTACACTGAACTGTCTCCTCACTATGGACAGATTTTAGACATCTCTGACCCTCCCTGTGTTAAGCGTTCACAAAATCAGTGTACTTTGGCTAGGGGATTGGGAGACACATGTTTCCCACACTTTAGGCTGTCCTTTCCATCACCCCTTACCCCTGAACCCCTGCTCCCTGGTCTTCCCTCCCTCCCACAAGCTCAACCTCTGATTTTAGTCATTTCCCACTAACGCTTATTAAGTCTCACCCTGTACATGGAGAAGGAAAAGCAGGAGCCCAAGGACCACAGCATTCAACCAGCTGTGAAGTTGAGTCAACGGCATGATCAGCTCTCAGGTCTGAGTCTGTGCTGCTATACAGAACAGCTATATTTCACAAACAGGAAGCAGAATGTGTGGGTCTTTCCTAGGTAAGAATTTAAATCAAAAGGATGTGGGCGGGGACCTTGGTGTGGTGGGGCAAAGTTTTCATTGTTGGAGAACTGATTAGTCAGAGTGACAGAAACAAAAGTCCAGGAGGCAGGGCAAAATCACCCTGCTCTTTCTGTTCCCTCCTTGGCCCTGGAAAGGCACAACATGGATTTTGAAGCTTTTCTGGGACACCAGGAGCCCTGTCCTCGCTCATGGACAGAAAACTGTAACAGGAGAGACAGCGGGTTCCGTGAGTAGGTCCACACTCAAGATGTCACAGAAGAGACAGGCAGATGCAGGAGCTCTGAGTGTGAGCTTCATCCTCAAGACTTTTCTGTGCTTAGAAGTCTCAGTTTACTGAGCCTGGATCCAAGCTCCCTGGTCTCTACAATATTCTTATTGTCTACATGGACACATTCCTGTTAGGTAAGAGTTGATTGATCAAAACACAGAACAGTTCTGGTGCTTTTAAAGTTCCCAGCCCCTATTCACTCCACCCTTGGGATGTGTTTCCTCTAGTGGCAAGCTCCTGCCAAGATCAACTTGGCCGTAACATACCCATTTCACAACTATTTGTAATTATTTGCATCTATTTATTTATTGTGCGTATGTACATATGTGTGTGCATGTGTATAGATTCTCCCAGGCCCTGTCTCACATATGGAGATGAAGGGACAATTTTTGTAAGTCCATACTCTAATCCCACCATATGAAGCCTAAAGTGGACCTAGGATCATAAGGATTGTAGGAATATTCTTTTACTACCTCCTGATCAATATCATGTATAGCCATGTGATAAGCATTTGATTGGGCCTTGCAGGCTCCAACACTGGAGCCAATCTGAGGTCTCATGAACTATGATGAACCTGAGATAAAGGTGTATAAATAGAAGTTTTAGAGTCCCCATGAAACACTAAGATGATATATCAAAGGATGCAGGATCAGGAGCCCATACACAGTCCAGACTGACTTCCTAGAGAAAGTGGCATGGGGGTCAGTGTCAGACAACCTTTAGTGCCACCTGAGAATTGGCTTTGGCTCCAAACTATCTTCATTATTATCTAAATAATAGTCTAGAGCCCCCATAACATGGTGCTGTGGGACTTCTTCCTTGGTGTCTCTGGCTGTTTTCCTGACATATCACAGCTCAGCCCCTGCCTCCTCTAATCAACAGGGCTCCCATGATTCACTGTCGCCCCTCCAATGCACTCTTGTCCTGACTGTGGTCCTAGCCTTTCTTGGCAGGTGTTTCTCCTCTGCAAGTTCACAACCAAAGGAAGAGTTGGATCACAAGGACTGAAAAGTCCCCAGTATCTCCAGTCTCTAGTTGAAGGAACTATATTCCTGATGGATCCTGGGCATCCCTGGGCTTTTAGATCCCAGACATTTTTGTAGCTCAGCTGGGGAAATCCCTGTGTGCTGCTACTCACTGCACCATCATCAGAGGCCCCGTGTTGATGATGACCATGGCCACAGGAAAGATGTGAAATAAAGAAGATGCTAAGACTCTGTTCTGTGGGGGAGGCAGAGAGTGAGTAAGAAGTGCATGAGAGATAGAAAAAAGAAATTAGATAGATAGATAGATAGATAGATAGATAGATAGATAGATAGATAGATGGAGAGAAGAAAGTAGAGGCTCAAGTTCATAAAATTCCTTCAATAAAATGCTACTATATCCCTGTTCAGTGTGACCAGGTTTAAGACACATAAAGCCAAGTGTTGACAAAGACATGGAGCCACTGGCACTATCATAGACGACTGGAGGAGATACAAAATGATGTAGTCATAATAGACGACACTCAGACACGGAGCCACTGGCACTATCATAGGCGACTGGAGGAGATCCATAGTGATGTAGTCATTATAGACAACAGTCAGATAGTCAAACATATTTATCCTGTGATTGAGTGATTCTATTCCCAGGTCTTTAGTTCAAGGAATTAAAACACCAATCACAAGAACTCATACTTCCAAACTTCATAAGAACTTGTTTAAAAGTAGTCAAAATCAGGTTACTCAGGAGTTGATCAACTAGGGATTGTGCAAAATGAGATGTTTGCACATATGGAGAGACACTGTTACCTAAATGAAGCACACTTGAATCTTTTTTTCCTTTTCAATTTTCCTTCTTTCTCTTTCTATATTTTATTTTATTTAAATAAGATTCTTTTTAATTATTTTACATTTCAACCACAGGTTCCCCTCCCTCTCTCCTCCTGCCAACACCCTCACCCCACTTCTGTTCCATTCCCCTTCCTCCTCCATCTCCACTCAGAAAGGGGAGGACAGGCCTCCCCTGGGCTTGTACAAAGCCTGGCACATCAAGTTGTGACAGGACCAAGCTCCTCCCTATGTGTCAAGTCTTGGCAAGATAATCTAGCATGGGAGATAGGTTCCCAAAAGTCAGTTAAACACCAGGGACAGGTCCTGATCTCACTGCAAGGAGCCTTACAAAGAGACCAAGCTACACAACTGTCACACACATATGCAGACACATAGGTCAGTTCCCTGGAGGTTCCCTAAATGTTGATCTAGAACCCTTGAGATCCCTTGAGTTCAGCTCACCTGTCTCTGGGGTTTCTCCTTCATGACCTCCAGGTTCCTAAATCCCCCCTCCTTTTCTTCAGCAAGACTCCCTGAGCTCAGCCCATTACTTGTCAGTAACACACTTGAATCTAAAAGATATTTAACTCAGTAACAGAACGTTTCACATAGGAATCCTTTCCTGAGATAGGATAACCCAGGACTCTGATGAATCTAAATTATATCCAGGATCTGAAATGTACCATCAGAAAGTGACTGCAGAGACCAGGCAATGATTGACAGAGAGGAGCTAAGGGAACCTTCCTCCAGTGAAATGAGACCTGTACTTCCGTGAAAGTAATTGCACACCTCATTTTTTTATGCAAAGTTTACACATCTATGCTGGTAAGAGGACAAATGTAATTGCTTAGAAACCATTTGACTTCAGAGATTTTTAAAAATGGCACAGCTACGGAAATCTAAAGGCCATTTGGTGAGGTGTCCTGTGTACGTCAGCAGAAATGGAGACTCCACAGATGCACATGTGCAGCAGGAGCTCACAAACGCCTCCAGTCCCCAGTGAGAGCACCAGGCAGAGGTCTTCTTGCACTCAGAGGAAGAGATCTTCTCTGCCCAGCTACTGAGCCAAAGCTGAGATAGTTTTGTCTCTCTTCTGCCCCCTGGTGTTTGCAATGTGGAACATACAAATCATCCCATCCATAAATGCTATAGATTTTAGTGTCTCCCCTCCCCACTCTCTGTGCTTTCAGGTCCTGTCTAAGCAGATGTTCTCTCTCTCTCCCTTTCTGGTGACCATCTGGGCTATGGGAGGTGAATGGTCCACATACCCTCTTCCAAGCTCAAAGACACGGAAGCTTCTTTATGTTCCTGGGACAGCCTGGTGAGTCCACTTAACCCTGGTTGGTTTTGTAGCATGACGTGGGGGAAGGTTCCCATGTACTCTGTCACCTAGTGCAGCATCATTTAAAGACCCTTCATGGATGAGGGTGGAGACCATCATAAACATGTAAAACAAGGAAGACTCTCAAATTCTGTGTGTGTGCTGGAAGGGGTGGATCTGGAACCTTTCATTTACAGACAAGAAGGGGGAGAGGGACTAAAGTCTACAGAATCCTCTTCATGGAGACACTACTGCATATGAACATACATACTCAGTGTTGGAAAATCATGGAGCCACTGGTATGCTCACACACACATGGCTGGAGGGGATGCAAAATGGTGTAGTCATATTGAAAGACGGGTTGACCTTTTCTGCAAAAGATAAAGACACCTGTTCTGGGACTCAGCAAATCTCCTACTGTTGCTAAAGCCTGCTTGAATTACCAGGTGTCCCTTCAAGCCTTTCCTTGTCTCTATCTGACCTTGTCCTTTGCTGCTGTGACATCTATTATCAGGTCACCTCAAACCTGCACTCTACAGTGAGAATATTGAGAGTTGGGCCACTAGGACACTCAGCTCATGAACATCATTATTAATCCCATCAGCCTAGTATAACCAAAAAAAAAACCAATCTTTGAATGAGAAAACTAGCCCTCAATGTATAGCACACCCAATGGTACCTTAACTTTGGAATTCATGGTCTCCAAAATTGTAGGCAAATTCCTATTGATTATAAGTCACATAGGTTATGATATATACAAACTCATATATGCATGTTACATGTATGTCTATGCATATATGCAATTGAGATGGAGTTTGTGTATATATTTCTAGATGACCTGAAAATATTGAACTCATAAAATCCACCTGCCTTGGACTTCCAAGTACTCAGGCCACGTGTGTCTGAGATAGACATGAGCTTGCTGTTTACGATGATTTTTGTTATGGACACATAAACTTTCTAAGACACCAGGGCTGTGCCAAGCCACATGTTTTATAAGTTACTTGTATAGACGAGAATACTTAGAGCTTGTTAGCAGATGGACATGGGAATTTGACATCCCATCACCTCTGGTGAGTCAGTTTCCCCAAACATCTGATATTGAATCCAGGATCTTATACATGTAAGGCAAGTGCTCTATCCCTAAACTGTATACCCAGAATGTATATTTTAATCTTTGATAATTTCATACACATACACAGTATATTTAAATCACACTTACTCCCTTACCTTAGGCAGTCTTGATTCTTTCCATGCACAAGGGTGCAGGGAGGTGTCCAGTGAAACCCCTTTTGCTCTTCTGGGTTGGTCATGTCCACAAGCTCCCATCTTTCTGGCAACTCACCTCACAGAGCACCATGTTTTTCCACTGTAGAGTTTGGCAGACCTAAGCTTCAAATCAGCCTCGTGTTTCTGAGATACCCTCTCTCTGATCCACATGGCAGACATCTTTTGTGGCAATTGGTGTGGATTAGGGCAGAGCAGCATCATATACAGATATCAATGGGTTTTGCCTATGTCTTCACAAGGTCAAAGGTTTAT